AGTCTAGTTATATTTGTATGTTTGATAACCAGCCTAGTGGTTTATCATTTCGCACCGGCATTTTACTTCTACAAGCAACTTTTCTTTGCAGTCACCATCGCAACATCCGAGAATCTCTTGCCAGGTTTGCTTGGCTTTGACTCACTCGGTTACTATGGTTACTGTGCAATTATAATTGCAACCCTTGCGGGTAATTTCCTCCTTATCATCTATTTCATGGTCGCGATGATGTTTGTATGTTATCTTGTTGCGGAGGTGACAATGTTTACTTATATTGGTGCAGTCCTTGACCCCTCTATGGCATTCAAGTATATCTCGCTTGTGGGCGCCGTGTCTTTCGTTCTTTACAATCTTACCAAGAACATGAGGGAAAATTATGATAATCTGCGTAACCAGATAGTCGAAATACTAGAAAAGACAGACCATCTTTCACAGCTGAATAAGGAGTTTAAAATAAGTCCTGGAGATACATTCGAGCGAAAGGAGGAACCAGATGGCACGGTAAAAACACTTTTGAAAATTACTGGTAAGCCGTCGAAAGTTGTTCTGCACCATGACCACTATGGTACCTATTTATCAAGACCCTTGCTTGACTTTTGTCTTGAGGAATGCGATCCACTTCGAAGAAAGGTGTTATTCATGACTGTAAAAGTGCTTCTGATGACTTTTTATCTCTTGATCGCCATGTGGATAAAAAATGTCTTTCACAAGGAAAAAGAAGTGTCGTCGATCTTTTCCATAATACAAGGGATTGCCATTAATTTCGTTCCTAATCTCCTTCAGTTTCTTGTGGATAAAAGTCGTTTCGGCAAGAAGGATTCTGTCGACCTGCACCGAGATGTTCACGAAGCAATTGTTGCTTTTGTTGAAAGATAGTAAACGAACATAGGTAGAAGTCTCTAAAGGAGAAATTATGTAAAGCCAGTTTTCCACTTCAACCGTATCGTACCGAAACGTAGCGTATTTCTTTGTTTCTTGAGCACTAGTGTGGAACTAATGACTTCGACGCAAAAGAAATTGCTATGGTACGTTATGATGATACGATTAAAGTGGAAAACAGGCTTTATACTTATGTTATATATGCCTCCATACAAGCTTTTTAGTACGGCTAGCGCGATCATACCTTTCGGGTCTGATCAAATTTTTTACACCATATAGGTAAACCTAGCGACCAAAATATGAAATATCCATTCGTAATCCAGAAACGGTATTTCTCAGTCGTGAACTCCGTGAGCAGAGAGAAAGCTGGAAAGTATAATCCTCATAAAAGTATAATCCAATAAATCAATACAATTGTTTTATATTATTTTTTATATATCAGTGTATATAATTATTTTAGCTTATACTCGGGAACTGGATAGTGCTTTTCGCGCAATTTGATTAGTTCCCAGCTCCGGATATCAATGCAATATTCAGCTCCGGACAAAGCAAATGGCATCCCATTTCGTTCCGCCTACAGACTGATCTTTGTAACTATAGTAAATGAACCGCATGCATGCGGTTTCGGCCAACCCGAAAAAGTTTTATTTAATTAACAGTGTGCAGAGGTATTTTTCAAAGCTAAGTTATATAGGCTACTTCTAGTGAATAAAATTACTAAAAGCGTGCAGTGTACATGCATATAGTACTGTTTTGTTTACAATTAACTGTTACGGAGCCTGTGTAAATACAAATTGTTTTGAAAATATTTTCGTTGTTTTTTGGTCATTTAAAAAAACAATTATTGCTAAAACAATTATTCACCTCCGTTGCCTGTGAGTAGTACATGGCTATTCACCTCAACGCTTCGCGTTTCGATGAATATCTTTCCTTGCAATATTCACCCCCACTTTAAATAATTTTTAAATTCTAGGAGTTACTATCGCAAAGAAAGTGCTGCCTTTTTGCCACATGAACTGAATGCAAACATTTATACTTCTAGACAATTCTCTAAAGCCATAGGATATAATTTACCGTTACAATTTCACACATACATCTCCAATTTTATTATGTTCCACAAGTCTACACCTACACTTATATTTCTTAGGTTCACATTTATACAAATGCAAGTGATTTTTTTTATCTTTTATTCTCAGTTTCATCAGATACAACATTTTTTGATAGGAATACATTGTGCCAACAACACGAGGCCATCACAATATCATATTTCACAATTTGCCTTTTGATATAAAATTTAGGACTATATTGTGGCATAAAATTATTACTATAGGACACCAATATGGTTCTCATTATATCTATATATATTTTTCAATATTGTTGACAATTGTGAACAACGTGGGTACTTTATGCAACATTGTGCTCATAATTTTTACGCGTGTATAGCTAAGCAACGACTACGGAAATGAAATGAAAAGAAAATATTTAGACGAGTATTCTGGTACCAAACGTGTAGCAAGGCATTCCCAATCAATATTTCGAGTTTAGCAAGCGAATGGACTTGCGGATTTCAAAACAACTTTTATTAGGTTAAACAAAATAATAAACGGCGGAAGGCAAAGCTATACTGCTATTCGTAGTCTAGGACCTGTATAGGAGTTTGTATGCGTTTCATTGCTGCCTCGTAGAGGCAGCACACTATTCTTGACTACGCGGTGTTTCTCCAGAGTCCACTCGACCCAGTCTTTCGCGCGATCTATGTATTGTCGAGATCTCGATCTTGTGTCTGTCTGTCTGTATGTATGTAAAGATGTCGTAATCC